CCGCGGCCACCCCGCAGCCTGCACCAGGCCAGCCTGCTGCTCGGCTCTCAAGGTTGCCTTTTCTTTCCCTGTGAATTCGACTTGGCACAGTGATCCTTGTGGTGACAATTTATTACTAACGAAGAGCATTCTTTTTTGTTCCCAAGCTGCAATTTGGCAAAGCTTATGAGGAGACGTACTGTATAATTAGGGCTTCCAAGAATCAACGTTAAGTGCATCCTTTATTCTCCCTGCAGAAGCCTTAGAAATCATCTACTTTAGGCTCGGAAAGAAAATGTTACCCTCCCCCCACCCCAAAGACAACGAAATGCATGCTGCATTTTGTCCGCATGCACGGAGTTAGCGAGCAAAGACTGACATCTCCATCCTGTGTGGAGGCTAAGGCCAGAGTTCAGCATGAGGTGGGGGCTCAGCCGGCCTCAGCTGGTGCAGACAGGAAGCGGGTGGGCTTTGTTAGAGAGATTAACGAAGGGGGACAGCGGGCGTGTCGATGTGCTGCTGACAGCGCCCCTCCTCTGTGGTCCCTGCTCTGCTCATCACTGGGAGGTCAGCGCTGTGCATGAGAAGTCGTTCTTCGTCAGGACGCCAGGAGGCGCTGTTCCCACCAGTAGCCTCTGAACAGAGTCTCACCAGACGCCCTAGGCACCCGGTGAAGCCTACAAGCCCTTGTCTGAAAAATGTCTTGATGCGTAAAAATAAGAAGATAATAAAAAAATAAGATAGATACAATGTAACTGTAAATTACAAACTACATATTAATAACACCAACAACATAAACTATATCCTCATCTCCATAAACCAAACAAAAAGAAGGACATTTAAAGAAATCCGAAGGTCTCTTCCTAATGTTGAAGCGATCTCAGAGAGCTGAAAATACAAAGGCAGCTCCTGAACCTGAGACCAGCATCAGCGGACAGCAGCCACCGTGGTGAAGGGTCACAGACTGGCGGGCCGCTTCCCGAGAGAAGCAGGTGGCTTTGCCACTTCCGTTCCCACCGGGTTCGAGTTCCTACCCTGTTCAGTCAGAGACGGGAAAGAAAAAAGACGTGGAGGTGTCTATCCACAGATGGTTTAGGTAGAAACCTGCTTGTACCAGGAAAGACCACTTTCTTTACAAGAGGCCTCCAGCCTATGGGCTTGTTGCTCTCCAATTTGGCTTTTTAAAAGATGGCATGAGAGTGCTGTTTGTCTTCACGGCTCACTTTTCCTGTCCTCCCTGCCACCCTGTGCTCCAGGCCAGTGCCCAGCTCGCCTCCTCCTGGCCTTGGCCTGCGGCGGATCATTGTAAATAATAAATGAGCGGAGCAAGGTTGCAAGACGCGGGATCAGCTTAGGAAGGTCATTTGTACTTTTTTAATACACAGCCAGTAGACAGCTGGAAAGGGAAATAAATGCATCGTATTCTATCAAGGTACCAAGAGCAGCAAAAACATCAAACGGACCCATCTGACAAAGAACTGAAAGACGGGCCCTGGAATCCACAATCTACTGCTGACAGGAATTCGAGACTAAAGAAATGGGGGTTCTGCTGTTGGGGGGCAGGTATCCCCCAGATTGATCTAAAGACGATGTGCATCCCAACCAAAACATCGGCACGATTGTTGGGTAGAATTTGTAGAACAAGTTGATTCTGAAGTTCGTATGAACATGCAAAGGACTCACAGGACTCACTTCAAAAGGAACTGAGTAGAAAGTCTTCAGTGTTTCTGATTTCGCGACTTATTTGTAACCACAGCGATGTGGTTGGTGTCGGCATAAAGACAGACAGGAAACCGGATTGATGAAGCGGAATGAGTCCAGAAAACAACCACAAAGGCAGTCAGTTGCATGAATGATTTCATTTTTGACAAAGGAAATACA